GCTTCACTAATAAAAAAAGAAAAAGAAAAAAGAAAAAAAGAAAAAAAGCTAAAGGAGTTCATCACTGCTGAACAAGAATTATATGAATTGCTGAAGGGGGTTATTTAGGAAGAGGAAGAAGATAAAGATAAAAATTATGAACAACAAATACGTAACTATCAACAAGTGAAACTAAAAACCAAGGAAATTAAAAAACCTGATGAACAATATTAACTGGTGAATATAATAGAATCAGAGGTATGGAAGGGGAGTGGACTGACAGTCCTTGGGGAAAAGGGGAGTGGGGGTGTGGGAAGAGACTGAACAAAAGCTGTGCACCTATGGATGAGGACAATGGGGGGTGGGGAAAGGACAGAGGGTGGAGTGGGAACCTGGTGGAGGGGAGCAATTGAAGAGGAACACATTTGTAATAATTTGAACAATAAAGATTTATTAAAAAAAAAAAAAAGAATTGAACAAAACTTCACATAATAGGGCCTAGCTGGTTTGGCTCAGTGGATAGAGCTTTGGCCTGCAGACTGAAAGGTTCTGGGTTTGTTTCCAGTCAAGGCACATGCCTGAGCTGCAGGCTCAATCCATAGTAGGGGTGTGTATGAGTCAGCTGATCAATGATATTTCTATCTCTCTCTCTCCCTCTCCCTTCCTCTCTGAAATCAATAAAAATATTTTTTTTAAACTTCACACAAAAAGGAAAGCCAAGGAAACAATGAACATTAATAAAGGTACTCAAATAGTAATCAGGGAAATGCAAATTAAGATTACAATGCACACTCATCAGAATGGCTAAAATGAAAAAGAACACCACCAAATGTTGGTGGGGGTGTGAAGGAGAGGGAACTCTCAGACATTAGAAATTTGTCCAAACACCAGGAGAACTCTTGAACATATCCTATGACCCAGCAATTCCACTCCAACCAGATGTGAACATTTATCTGCCAAAAGATAAATTCCCATCAGTAAACAAATGGATAAATAAATTGTAGCATCTTCACACACAGAAAACTATAAGGCAATAAGAATACAGCCCCATGCAACAGAGTGGGTGGATTTCTCACACACACACACACACACACACACACACACACAAAAAAAAAAAAAAAAAACTGGGCAGGCAGCAGACATGAAACAATACCTACTGTGTGGCTTTATTTATATAAAGTACAAAAACAGACAAAATTCACCCATGTTAGAAGTCCAGTTAGTGATTATTCTTGGGGGCATCCTGGAAGAGGCATGAGAGCCATCCTGAGGAGCTGCTCATGTTCTTTTCTTCAGCCGAGTTCTAGTTACCTATTGAATTCAGCGTATAACATTTCATCCAGCTCTTCATTTATGGCTTGTGTACTTTTCTGTACATATATTGTACTTCAAAACAGCTATTTTTATACAGACATACATAAATTCCCAAGATGCATCACTGAATGAAAAAACAAGCTGTAAAAACAGTATGTGCACTCACTTTGGAAAACAGTATGGTAGTTCCTCAAAACTTTAAAAATAGAATTACCATATGACCCAGCAATTCCACTTCTGGGTATTGACCCAAAAAAACTTAAACAGGGTCTTTTTTTTTAAAATATTAAATATTTATTAAATATTTAATATTTATTTTATTGATTTTGTACAGAGAGGAAGGGAGAGAAATAGAGAGCCAGAAACATCGATGAGAGAGAAACATCTATTAGCTGCCTCTTGCACACTCCCCACCTGGGATGCGCCCGCAACCAAGGTACATGCCCTCAACCGGAATCGAACCCGGGACCTTTCAGTCCCCAAGCCGACGCTCTATCCACTGAGCCAAACAGGTCTCGGCTTAAATAGGGTCTTAAGGAGAATTTGTACAACCATATTCACAGCAGCTTTATTCACAATAGCTAAAATGTCAAAGCAGCCGAAACCGGTTTGGCTCAGTGGATAGAGCATCGATCTGCGGACTGAAAGGTCCCAGGTTCGATTCCAGTCAAGGGCATGTACCTGAGTTGCAGGCACATCCCCAGTAGGGGGTGTGCAAGAGGCAACTGGTCGGTGTTTCTCTCTCATCGACGTTTCTAGCTCTCTATATCTCTCCCTTCTTCTCTGTAAAAAATCAATAAAATATATTTTTAAAAAAATGTCAAAGCAATCCATGTGTCTATCAACAGATGAGTGGTAAGACAAAAGGGAATGTATATAAACAATGAAATATTATTCAGCCTTTAAAAGGCAGGAAAATCTGCCTGGCTGTTGTGGCTCTACCTATGAACCAGGAGGTCACAGCTCAATTCGTAGTCGGGGCATTTGCCCAGGCTCAATCCCCATCATGCAGAAGCCAACTGATCAATGATTCTCTCTCGTTATTGATGTTTTTCTCTCTCTCTCTCTCCCTCTTCCTTCCTCTCTGAAATCAGTAAAGATATACTTTTTTAAAATAAAAGCTTAACAATAAAAATAAAAAGCAGGAAAATCTGATATGTGCTAAAACATGGATGATTTTTGAGGACATTATACTAAATGAAATAAGCCAGTCATAAAAGGACAAATACTAAATGACTCTGCTTATATGAGGTACATAGAGTAGGCAAATTCAGAGGAGAAAGTAGAATGGTGGTTGGTTACCAGGGGCTGGGGAGAGTGAAGAAGGGGAGCTGTTTTCTCATGGGTACAGAGTTTCAGTTTTGCAAGATAAAAATAGTTCTAGAGATTAGTTGCACAATTATGTGCAAACACTTAATGCCACTTGATCTGTACACTTAAAAATGGTTAAGATGGTAAATTTTGTTAGGTGTATTTTACTACAAATTTTTAAAAGTTACAAAGTACATAAATAAATATTCAGTGTGATTCTTATAAAAAATGTGTAAAATATGTCATTTCAGTAACAACAAAAATCATCAATAATAGCAAATATTATTGTCCTTCCCATGTGCCAGGCATTTGTCCTAGTAATCTATTGCTGGGTGACAAATTATCTTCCCAAACTTAGTGGTTAAAACAATTATTTATCACTGACATAGTTTCTGCAGGTCAGTAATCTGGCGATGGCTTGGCTGAGTGGTTCTGGCTCAGAGTGTCTCATGAAGTTGCAGTCAGCATGTTGGCAGACGTAATGGTCATCTGAAGATCTGCCTAAGGCTGGAAGATCTGCTTCCAAGATGGTCACTCACATGGTGCTGGTTGATGGCAGGATGCCTCAGTTCCTCCCCATTGACAGCTTTACTGTTGTTACATCATGATGGCTCACCTCTCAACATAAACTATTCAAGAGCGGATGCTTTTTATGGCTTGGTTTTGAAGTCCCTTAGCAGCACTTCTGCCACATTCTATTTGTTAGAAGCAACCTACCTAGTGCAGCCTATACTAAGGGAGACAGGAATTAGGCTCCATCCGGTGAAAGAATGAGAATCAAAGAACCTGTGATCATATTTTAAAACAGCTTCATACATTCATTAACTCCTGACAATAATCCAACAAGGTGGGTACCATCATTCATTCTCAGGTCCCAGATGAGGAAACTGAGGTACTGAAGGTCACACAGAAGGGAAAGAGCCAAGATTGAAATTCAGGCAGTCAAACTGGGAAGTTATTATTAATCACTAATATCAACCAACAGAAAAAAACTAATTGAAGGAAAAAATATTTAAGGCCCTGGCCGTGTAGCTCAGTTGGTTAGAGCATCATTCTAATATGCCAAGGTTGCTTGCGGGTTCTATCCCCATCAGGGCACATATGGAAATCAACCAATGAATGCATAAACAAGTGAACAACAAATCATTATCTGTCTCCCCTCCTCCCCTCCGTTCCTCTCTCTATATAAAGATAAATAAGTAAAATTTTTAGTTAAAAATATTTAAGAGCCGAAATCGGTTTGGCTCAGTGGATAGAGAGCATCAGCCTGCGGACTGAAAGGTCCCAGGTTCGATTCCGGTCAAGGGCATGTACCTTGGTTGTGGGCACATCCCCAGTAGGGGGTGTGCAAGAGGCAGCTGATTGATGTTTCTCTCTCATGGATGTTTCTAACTCTCTATCCCTCTCTCTTCCTCTCTGTAAAAAATCAATAAAATATATTTTTAAAAAAATATTTAAGAAGGAGCATTGACAGGACTTGATAACTGGTTAGATGTGAGAAGATATGGGATACAGGATGCACACATAGCCTGCATATTCCTTTAGCAGAGAGATTAAGAACATAAAATGTAGAGACAGAGTCAGGCAAAACTATGATCAGTTTGCTTAGGGCAAATAATTTTGCTCCAATTTCTTCATTTTAAATAAAGTTGATCATATTACCTACCTGTCAGGATGTCTGTGAGGATGAAAGGCCACTGTACATGCAAAACAATCAGTTTCCGGGGGACTGGTACAAAGAAGTAACTCAATAAATGGTAGCTTTCAAGTGAACTATCCTACTGAATTATTCATTTACTGTAGATAAATCTTATCCTATTGGAATGTTGCCCCTCACCTCCATAACTTTCTGTGGGTGACCAACTTTGGTAGCCGCATCTCTAGGCCCCCTGGCCCCTCGCCTGGGCTGGAGGACAAGGGACTCAGGCACGGCTCCCCGCTACGGGAAATGAGAGGGTGCGAGTGCCGCTGACTCAGTCACCCTCCTTGAGCCCATTACAAGGATGAGAAAACCGAAACCTAGAGCCTTGCAAAGTCACAAGACAGGTTACTGGCAGAGTCCAGGGTTTAGAATCGGATTTTCTGCAGATAAACAGGCCTCAGTTCCTCATTTCTCTTACCCACTCCCCACGCCCCCATCCTTGCTCAGAATCAGCACCGTAAAGAGCTGGGCAGCTTTTCTGAGAAGGAAGTTGGATTATCAGTCCCACGAAGCCTGGGGAACTCTAAAAATAAAGGAAGGAAAACCCCTCCCCAACTTCTTGAGTATCTGCGAATGAGGAAGGATTTTTTTTTTTTTTCTTCTAGTTATGAGGCAAGAAGATGCACTCTGCTGAGAGTCCCTTGGCTCCGTGGTCCACGTTGAGGGAGAGACTTGGGGGTCGGGAGGCACCAATGGGGATTCCTTTGTGAAGAGGCTACCAGGGAGGGACAGTTGGCGCTCAAACTCCCTCAGCCGCTTCAGATGGCGGCGGCCCGGCCACGCCCCAAGTGGCTGCGGAGACCCTTTTCCCAAAATGGAGAGCGGGAAGGGAGAGGACGTCCGCCAGAAGTTAGCCCCGCCCCCGGGGACAGCGAGAGCCAATTAGCAACTCGCAGGGCGGGCACGCGCGAGGCCAGGGGAGGAGGCTGCCGTTGCCCCGGCAACCACCGAAGAGAAGGAAGGCGGTCGCGGCCTGGGAGGGATCGCGGCGCCGCGGGCCTCTCCCTGCCGGAAAGGTCCCTCCCGGGAGAGCGCGAGACAGGCGGGGAGTCAGCGCCCGTGGAGAGCGGGACAGGTCAGGTCCATGAACTCCAATCCCCGAAGCCGCTTTCGCGCCTCCTGTTAGCGGTTCTGAAGTAGGCTTAGCGCATGCGTACGCCTGGAGGCGGGGCTTTGCGCCCAGCTCTTAGGACGCATGCGGCATTGGAACCTTTGCGCTGGTGGGGGCGGAGCCACTGGCCCTGGGCGGGGCTTTTCTCTGTCCTGAGCTGGAAGTTGTGGAGTTAGATGCCTGCCTGCTCTTCTGCCTGGCCCTATTCCCCTCTTTTTATTTCGGGCTCTCCTGGAGAGGTATTTAGGATCCTATTAAAAACCCAGACTTAGGCCGAGACCGGTTTGGCTCAATGGATAGAGCGTCGGCTTGGGGACTGAAAGGTCCCGGGTTCGATTCCGGTCAAGGGCATGTACCTTGGTTGCGGCCATACCCCCGGAGGGGGGTGTGCAAGAGGCAGCTGGTCGATGACTCTCTCATCGATGTTTCTAGCTCTCTATCTCTCTCCCTTCCTCTCTGTACAAAATCAATAAAACATATTTTAAAAAAAAGAAAAAAAAGAACCCAGACTTAGTGGTCTGAAACCGCAATCCTACTACTGTTCCTTATTGCCTCAGTTTACTCATCTGTCAGGTGGAAATAATAGTACACTGACTTCACAGGGTTGTGACTGTTTTTACCCTCTCAGGGCTATGGCTGAAGTGCACGTGATCGGGCAGATCGTAGGGGCCACCGGCTTCTCAGAAAGCAGCCTCTTCTGCAAGTGGGGCGTCCACACAGGTATTCCCGACCTGGCTCCTTCCCCACCGAACTACCAGCCTAGGGGTTCCACCTCCCTCCTGGCCCAGTCCCTGTACCTCATCTCCCATCAGGACTCCTGGACCTGACTGTACTGTGTCCATCTGTCTCATGCTCCTGCCTTATCCCTTTCCATGCCGTCTCTTGGGGCTCTGGCTCCAGCTCTGAACAAACAGCCCCTAAGATTATGGGACTATAGGCTAGACGACCCCCCCCCCCCCACACACACACACACACACTCCCAATCCTCAGAACACTAGACAGTCTTAACCTCATGGTTTGGACTTCATTCACTGTCTTAGGGGTGTCCTGGGTCCCTCCCCTGTCTTAATTTTTTGCTTAACAGTCTCCATTTATTGAGATCTTACTGTAAAATGGAAGTTTACATTCCAGATTTCAGAGGAAGACCACCCCTTGTATGCATAATTCTCTGTGAGAAAGGAGGAACCTGGTAATTATCCAAGCCCATCCGTATGGCCCAGGCAGGACCTCAGAGGCTCAATGTCTCCCATGTGAGGCAGAATAGTGTGGTGGTATGTGTAATGGTTATGGCCACCAGATCTGGGCTCAAATACTAACTCTCCCATCTATTAAAGTGTGGCCTCTGAACTTAACCTCTTTGAGCCCCAGTTTCCTTGTCTGAAAAACTAATAGCGGAGAGGTGTCAGTGTTGAGGTAAAGAGCACAAACTGCCTGGGTTCAAAACCAGTTGTTAATTAAATATGTTGATTTTGGCCACTTGTCTTTGCCTCAGTTTCCCTATCTGTACAATGGTAATAATAATAATAATAATAATAATAATAATACTTATTTCATGGGTGGTTGTGCGAAATAAATGAATAGCAACAGCACTTAGGAGAGGACCTGGCCTAGTAAGTGTGCAGTAAGCGTTTACCCAGCTCATGTGAAAGTTGGATGGGGTCTTGTTTGTAAAGCCCTGGGTATGTTGCCCAACAGATAAATGCGCATGAAACAAGTGTGGCTATTGCTGTCCTTATCTCTTCAGGCCCTGGGTCCTGGGTGGTGGGTGAGATTCTCTGGGAAATTGTGATCCTCCAGCTGAGCACATGAAGAGGCAGCTCTGGAGGCAGACTTGGTTTGCAGTCTGGGCTCCATCTGCCCTGTGACCCTCGGCAGGCGCTGTCCCTTCACAGGGCCTCAGTTTTCTCATCTGTGAAGTGGGTTATATTGTATATGAAGAACTGGACTCAAAGCCTGGTGCTTTCCTTGCCTGAGTCAGAGAGAATAGTCACTCCGCATGTCAGGGGACTGCTGGGGAGGGGCAGTGAGTCCAGCCGAGAGCTCCGAGGCAGATAAAGGGCTTGGACTCTGCATTCTGACCCAGCTCTGTCTGAATCCAGCTTCACAGTGGCACCTGGGTCTGCTGCAGGCCTGCTGTACCCAATGTGAACGGTGCTTGATGCACAGTAATGTTCATTAAGTGTTCATGGAACGAATGGACAAGTGACTTTCCTTCTCAGAGTCTGTTTCTTCACTTGTTTGGGCACTCACCTCCCATGCCCACTTACTTGTCCAACAAACATTTTTGAGCACCTTCTGTATACTAAGATCTGGTTTTGAGTCCTGGAAATTCAATAGTATGTAAATCCCTGCTCTCCTGGGGCTCACAGAAGGGGAGATAAAATAAATAAGCAGATAAAGAAATAAATGAGTGTAATGATTACAGATGGTGGCAGGTACTCAGAACCAATTAGGTGAGATAATGTAACGGGGCTTAGTTTCGGATGGAAGGGTGAGGAGAACCCTCTGTAAAAGTGGCATTTGAGTTGATCCCTGAAAGATGAATAAAAGCCAGGCATGAAGACATCCAGGAGCAGAATTTCCTAGGCAGAGGGAACAGCCAATGTCACAAAGGAAATAAAAATAGGATCAAGGAAGCTAGAGGTAGCGAGGGATGGGGAGAGTGATAGGAGATGAGTGCAGGAAGGGGGACAAAGGCCAGATACAGGGCTTTGGGGAGAGTCTGTAGTCTGGGGGAGGGGTAGGATTAAAAGTCCCAGAGGGTGGATTAAATGAATTCATCACTAAAGTGCTTAGCACAGGGTTTGACATTTGGTAAGCAATCAGTGCCTGTTTGCTATTATGATCACCCTCTGTAGGCCTGGTAATATTATGTGCCTTTCACAGAGTGTTCTTGCTTTTTGTGGAAGGGCATCCTTGGTCCCATCCTAGTCCTTGGACTAGGCCTCTAACTGCAGCGTGAGAAAGTGACAGAGTGATACTCAGCACTTATCCAGCACTTAGTATGCCCCAGGCACTACTCTAAGTGCTTTGTGTGTATTAGCTCTTTTAATCTGCTCACAAAATGACAAGGAATGCGTTATTACACCCACTTGACATATTGGGAGACTGAGGCAGGAAAAGGTAACTTGCCCAAGTGTGTGCAGGCTCTGAACCAGTCCTTTGGCTCCAGAGTCCATGCTTTGTGTCCCCTGTCCCCCAGTGCTGGAAGAAACTGGGCCTTACAGTCGCAATGGCATGCCTTCCTGACGGCTGCCTCTACCCCTCCTTGCCTCATTAGTGTCCTGGCTCTCATTGTAGGGGCGGCATGGAAACTCCTGTCAGGCGTACGGGAGGGCCAGACACAGGTGGACACCCCCCAGATAGGGGACATGGCCTACTGGTCCCACCCCATCGACCTGCACTTCGCCACCAAAGGCCTCCAAGGTGGGTTCCTGGGCTGGGCCCTGAGCCAGGCTGAGGGGATGGGGCTGGGGAGCGGGGTGGAGGGTGAGGGGGTGGGGAGGATGGTTAGCAACACTCTATGAGACTGAGAACACCAACTCCTGTCCCTGCTCCCTCGCCCTTTGGGTCCCTTTCCTGGCCAGGCCTGGCCCTGGAGAGACTGCGCTGAGGCCTCCCGTGGCTGGCTCTAGAGTGTGTCAGAAGCCAGGGGTGAGGGGAAAAGGGGAAGGGGGGACCAAGGGGAGAGGAGGGATGGCTTTCAAAGAGAAAAACCAAGAGACTCTTCAATCAAGAGGAAGCGGGAGGGTTTCTGAGGGAGAGGGAGGAAGGGCTGGTGGCTGTCCTCGGGCAGGGCTCCTCCGCTGTTCAGAGGAAAAAGGAGTCTGCGGGGGAGGAAGGGTATCAGAAAATCTTTTCTGGTGGAAAATGTGGGTCATTGGAGAGGAGTGAATTCCAGGAAGTAGCCTAGGTAAATATGCCATATATTTCAACAATATAAATAATAGTTGCAGCCAAAACCGGTTTGGCTTAGCGGTTTGACTTAGTGGATAGAGCGCCGGCCTGCGGACTGAAAGGTCCCAGGTTCAATTCCCGTCAGGGGCATGTACCTTGGTTGCAGGCACATCCCCAGTAGGGGGTGTGCAGGAGGTAGCTGATTGATGTTTCTCTCTCATCCATGTTTCTAATTCTCTATCCCTCTCCCTTCTTCTCTGTAAAAAATCAATAAAATATATTTTAAAAATAATAATATTTGCTGAGGACATGCCCTATGACGAGAGATGCCAGGGAGATGTCGGTGATTGAGACAGCTCGTGGCCCTGCTCTCACGGGATTTACCATCCCATGGGAAGACAGAGCCATTCCCAGACTGGCAGCCCAGCGTAGGCAGGGATGGGGTGGGGAGGTCTAGAGCTGGCTATTGGAACCAAGGGGAGGCTCCTGACTCTGCCAGGGAGTTCAGGGAGGGCTTCCTGGAGGAGGAGCTGTTGAGCTTTGCTGTGAGGGACCAGTAGGAGCTAATAAGGCAAGAGAAGGAAGAGGGATCAAGGCAGAGAAGTGTGTGGGAAGCCCAAAGGGTAAAGTGAGTGAGGGCATTTGGAAGATGGGGGGAGAGCAGGAGGACTGTGGGGGTGAGGTGACAGGGGATGGGACAGGCCATCCAGGGTCTTGAATCCCAGGCCCCAGAGCTGAGGCTGTCCCCTGAAGGCACCGGAAAGCCACGGCAGGTGACTGACAAGTCAGATTTTGCTTCTAAAAGACCCTCTGGCTGCTGTGGGTGAAGGGTTGGAGGGTGAGGCAGGCAGGCAGCTGTCCTTTTGCTCTTCAGACCCCACATTCTCCGCTGGTCCCCCCAGGCAGCTCCCACCCCAGGGCCTCTCCACCCGTTGTTCCCTCTGCTGGGAATGCTCTTCCCTGGATGTCTCCACGGCCCCCTCCCTTCCCTACTTGAAACATTCACTCCATGTCCCCTGCTCAGTGAAGCCATTCTTGATCATCCCTTTTCTAAAACGGCATCCTACCCCCACCCTACCTAGCTTTATTTTTCTCCAGAGCAGTCATCACCATCTGGCATACCCTATAATTTGCTTATTTACTATGTTCGTTGTCTAGGATGTCAGCTACGCAATGGCAGGAATTTTGATCTGTTCTGTTCACCTCTGTAGAGCAGGGCCAACTGCAGAGGGGCTCAGAAAGGAGAGTTAAATGAGGCTGGGTCTCCAAGGCTTTGCCTGCCAGGCTGAGGCGCTGAGAAAGATGCTTCCAGATGCCAGGAGGAAGGTGAATTGGAGGAGACAAGAAGTCCCTGAACCCGGAGAGGACTGGGTGGTCACAGTGTGGGAATCGGGGAAAGGTCCAGGACAAGGCTCAAGGTGTTTGCTTATCTGTGGACGGGCCTCCCTGAGCTGGGACCATGGACAAGGAGGACACAGAGAGGGAATCAGCAGAGGCTCGATCTAAAGGGCCTTGAGTGTTGAGGTTGGATTTTATTCTGAAGGCACCGGGGAGCCATGGAAGGGTTTTGAGCAGGGGAGGAGAATGGATTCAGAAATAACCATTGGCTGTTGTGTGGGAGCGGGGGGTCCAGAGAGGAGGCTGGGCAGACGCCAGGGAAGAGGACTGAACCCAGAGAGTGACCAGCTATACCATCCCCCTCTCTCCTGTCTTGCAGGCTGGCCCCGGCTCCATTTCCAGGTGTGGTCCCAGGATAGCTTCGGCCGCTGCCAGCTTGCAGGTTACGGCTTTTGTCACGTGCCCAGCAGTCCGGGCACCCACCAGCTGGACTGTCCTACCTGGCGGCCCTTGGGCAGCTGGCGGGAGCAGCTGGCACGGGCCTTCGTGGGTGGTGGGCCTCAGCTGCTGCATGGGGACGCCATCTACAGTGGGGCTGACCGCTATCGCCTGCATACTGCCGCTGGAGGCACCGTGCACCTTGACCTGGGCCTGTTGCTGCGCCATTTTGACCGCTATGGCGTGGAATGCTGAGGCACCCTGCCGCCGCGGCCCCCATCCACATACCTGGACGCCCATAAGGGGCAGGATGGTGCAGTGGTCAGAAACGTGGGCTCTGGAGACTGCCTTACCTGACCCAGCCACAGCATGGGGCAGCTTCTGTCCTGGCCAGCACCGCAAGCACAGAATCTCTCCCTCTGAAGTCCATTTTCCCCACCTGTGAAATGGGGTACCAGGGGTTTGGGGAGAAGAGGCTGCCTCACACATGGACGTGCTAAATAAAGAACAGTTCTGACAGGTGTGGGTGCCTTCCTGAACTCCCGACCTGTCAGCTGGCCTGTGCCCCATCCTCTCACTGACACCCTCCTTTCTCAGACCCCCATCTTCTTCCCCTTTCTCTGCCTTAAACTCTGGGTGACTTGTCTTCCCCTTTCTCTGCCTTAAACTCTGAGTGACTCCTTATGAGCTCCTCTCCTTGGGGGTTTTCCTCCTCTGGGCCCCTGGGCCCCTCTGCCCCAGTCTCCCACCCTCTCCATTCTGGGTCCCCTCTCCTGACATCTTGTATTCTGCCTATCCTCTGACTGAGCCCTCCCCACCAGGGCTCGTTCTCTCCGTCACACCCCCAATCCCCCAACCATCCCCATAGCCATCCAAGCCACCGCATTTGCTTTGGTAGCTGTCAGCCACCAGGAGGCAGCACTCCGCTTGGGGCGGGGCCGGGGTGCCCGCCCCCTCCCGGGCGGTTTAAGAGACCCCCCTCGGAGCCCGCCCACGCGAGCTGAGGACTGTGGCCAGGCCCCCCCTGATTGCCCTCCCCCCCGGGGGCCGCCCCCGCCCCGAGCGCTTCCTGGGTGGGGCCGGGGCGGCTTCAAAACCCCCCGCCCCTCTAGCCGGTCCTCCCGCCGCCGCCCTCCGCGCCCCGGGCCGCCCCGCTCCCTCCTCCCGCGGCGGAGCCTCTAGACAGCCAGGCCCCCGGCCGGGGGCAGGGGGGACGCCCCCTGAGGGGCGCACCCCCCCGGCTCGGAGCCACCCGCCGGGAGCGGAGGAAGGCGCAGCCCGAGGCCCCAGAGTCTGAGACGAGCCGCCCCCGCCGCCGCCGCCGCCGCCGCGGGGAGGGGGGAGGAGGAGCGGGAGGAGGGACGGGCTGGTGGGGAGAAGAGGAAAAAAGTTTTGAGACTTTTCCGCTGCCGCCGGGAGCCGGAGCGCGGGGACCGCCTGCCCAGCACGGAGACAGGACTCGGGGATCCCAGACCGCCTCGCCGCCTCGGACGCTCACTCACTCCCTGCGCCCCTCTCGGCGTCCCCCAGGCACCCCGATTCCGGACCAGCCCTCAGGAAACGCGAACCCGACGACCGACCGCGAAGGCTGGACCCAAGACCTCGGGCGCACCCCCTGCGCGCTCCCCGCCCCCAGCCTCGCTCCGAGCCCCAGCGCGCCCCGGACCTGTCCCCTCAGGGACCGGAGGCAGACCCGTCTCAGCGTCCGCGTTCAAGACCACCCTCCTCCGTTAGCGATCGCTCCCACCTCGGGCTTTTCCTAAGACAACCAGCAGCCGTTCACCAGCACCCCCTCCCTCCTCCCTGAGGACCTCAGCTCTGCCCCCCCCCCCCCACCCATTCACCCGCAGACAATCCCACCTTTCGGCGGGAGACCCCTACCCCCAGCCCCGGCAGGAGCGGGGCCTCCCTGTGCCCACAGCAGCCCGGCCCGCGCTCCCGGCAGAGCCGGGGGGGCGCCGCCTCCCCCATGCCGCCCTCCGGGCTGCGGCTGCTGCTGCCGCTGCTGCTGCCGCTGCTGTGGCTGCTGGTGCTGGCACCCGGCCGGCCGGCCGCCGGACTGTCCACCTGCAAGACCATCGACATGGAGATGGTGAAGCGGAAGCGCATCGAGGCCATCCGCGGCCAGATTCTGTCCAAGCTGCGGCTCGCCAGCCCCCCGAGCCAGGGGGACGTGCCGCCAGGGCCGCTGCCCGAGGCCGTGCTGGCGCTTTACAACAGCACCCGCGACCGAGTGGCCGGGGAGGGCGCGGCGCCCGAGCCCGAGCCCGAGGCGGACTACTACGCCAAGGAGGTCAACCGCGTGCTGACCCTGGACAACAACCACGGTGAGCGCGCCCGGGGGAGCCCCGGGGTGCCGGCGTGCCGGGGTCCGGGAGGGAATCACCGGGGGAGGGAACTGGCTGGAGGAAGTGGACCTCGGGGGGCGCCGGGAGCGCGGGAGGCCCCCCGCCTCCCCAGAGACTGGGTTGAGCTTCCTCCCCGCCAGGTGTCTGGTGCGGAGAGGAGACGGTGAGCGCAGTGACCTCCTCTGGAGGCGACAGGGATATAGGGGGCCGTGGGGTAGCCCCCCAGTGGGAGAGAAACAAGGGCGGGGGGAGCGCCTAGAAAAGGACTTTACCTCCGGGGTGCACCGGGGTGCGGGGGCTGCAGAGAGGGGGCCCAGCTCGCTCTGGGAGAGGCGAGACCCCGGTGTGGAGCGAGGAGAGGCAGCGGGGAACGCTGGTGCGGGCTCAGGGGTCCCGAGATGGGAAAATCCAAGGGCAGAAAAGCCAGATGAGGACGAACTCCCCAGTGCCCTCAGTATGAAGTCCAACCTCGACACAACCTCGACAGGCCCTTTGGAGGCTCAGGAAAATGGAGTGGGCCCGCTTGCAGAGGGTGCAAGGGACGCGGGGTTGGGGGAGCGGTGAGGAGGTGAGACATCCTGGGAGAAAGGGGCCGAGGGAGGGGAAACTAGCGGGAGGAGAGCTGGGACCCCCGGGGGGCGAGGGGGCGCGGTGAGGTGCCCAGAGTGGTTCGCAGATGGACGCGCGAGGGGACAGCCCGCCGAGGAAGCGGGCCCCGGGGAACCGAGAAGACGGGGTCGTGGGAAGGAGCGCTCCGGAGCGAGGGGCGCAGGCGTGGGAAAGGCGGGCTGGGGAGGGGGTGAGGGAGAGGGAGACGGTGCTGCTGGGAGCCGCGAGCCCCGTGCTGCGGGCTGAGTGAGGAGTCCAGCCGCAGGGGGAGCGGCAGGGAGGTGCAATCCACAAGGTTGGGGCGCGGAAGTCCCTCGTGGGTGCCACGCGCGGGGGGAGGAGCTGCGCGTCCCGAAGAAGAGTGGGGGGGACCCCACAGCTACAGGCTGAGAGTCTAGACCCCATAGTGCCAGTTCCTCCCCGCGCAGCTGGGGAAACCCCGGCGTCCGGCCGCCTGGCCCGCCCGCCCTCTTCCCTTCCTCCCCCCCGTGCCCCGGGGGTGGGGACCGCGCGGAGCCTGGGGCGAGATGAGGCAGGTCCGGTCCCCGCCCTCGCGGCGGCCGCCGCGCCTCCCGCCCTCTTCACCCCAGTTCCGGGCGGGACGGCCGTGGGCCCGCCCCGTCGGCGCCCACGCGGGGACCCAGGGGTCCCCAGGGGCCCTGCGCCTTGGGGCGGCCCCCAGCCTTTCACTTTCCCTCGTGGGCGGTGGACTCGCGGGTCCCCAGCCCATTCCTTTGCCCAGTTGTGGCTCCAGCCAAATACCGCCCATCCCCCCCTCACAGGTCCGCCTCACCTTTTCCGTAATCGCTTCACCCTTTTTTTGTAGAGATTTAACGAAGACACCTTCAATGCTCTCCCTCCGGCTCCCAAACCCTGTGTTCCTCTCCGTGTGTGTGTGTGTGTGTGTGTGTGTGTGTGTGTGGTCTTCCTTCCATCTCTGTCTTCCCATCTCTCCCTCCTCTTCATTAGTCTCCATCTCTTTTTTTTCTCTCTCTCTCTCTCTCTCTCTCTCTCAATACCAGGAAGCTATTTATTAACATTTTGGAATGAATGAGGGTACCAGTGGCCAATAGCATGATTGCATTTATTATCTCTTCTAACCCTGAGCAATCACCTTGGTGCCAAACAGCCCAGCTCTCATCCTTAGTAGTCTCCATCTCTTGCCTCTACTCCTCCTCCACACCTCCTCCTTCCTCTCCCCGTCTCTGGTCTCTGTGGTCTCGCCCTCCCTCCCTCTGTGGATCCCTGACCCCTTTCCCTTCCTCCCTTCCTCCCTCCCTGTCTCCCTTCCTCTGGGGGTTGCTGAGTAACCCCTGGACCAAAATAGTGCTTATTTGTAGGAGGCGGGACTGGTCTGGCTGGAGTGGGGATGGTAGAGGATGGGGGCCCACAGAAGAGTTTTCCTCTGACATTTCTCAGAGTCTGTCTCTGTTCTTACCTCCCCACTGCAGAGGCCTAAAGCAGATGTCCCCGTTTATCCAGAGTTCCCTCAACCTCAACCCCAAACTTTTCCTAGTCTAGAAAACACCTGCTAATTTTCTCCCCCACTGCTGAGCTATTCCTACCTAGAATAAACTTTGCCTTTTCTAACCAGCTGAGGGAGGAAGCAATTGCTAATCACAATAATAATAATAATATCGCATTAGCTTAGGGGTTGTCTCTGGAAACTATCTGCTTGAGTTTGAATCTCCATTCTGCAGCTTCCTAGCTATGTGAGGGGGACAAATTACTTGATCTCGTTGTGTCTGTTTTACTACCTGGAGAACGGGTGTAATAATAGTATCTTCCTCATGGGATTATTGTGAAGTTTAAATGCAAAGTGCTTTATCTGCTTCGTCTCACTTCACACTCTCATCTTGCAATCCTCCCTGTTTCACAGGTGAGAATCTGGCACAGGAATTCACTTGCTCAAAGTTACGCCAGCACTTCAGTTAGGAGACCCTGGGTAGGAAGGCAGGGAGCTTGATGTGGTTGCCATTTTCCAAAGAATAGCAGGAAACTGAGGCTTCGAGAAGGAATGTGATTTGCCAAGGTCACAGAGCTCAAAGGCAGCAGAGGCAGGGTCTGCTCCAAATGCCCTTGACCCTACACTGCCACGTGACTTGCATTTGAGGCTCCAAGTACTGGGAAGATCTAGCAAACAGCCACCTTTGGCGCTAGCCTGTATTGAATGGGCATTTGACAGATGATGGGAGAGAAGGGTTTAGAGAGGAGGAAATAAAGCCAGAGAGAACAAGCCACTCATCCACGGAAAGGATCGGACTCCCACCCAGGGCTGTCAGCTCTGGAGCCCAGGCTCCTCACCCTTGGGGTGTATCAGCTCCCCTTCCGCAGCCACACCGCTGACATCCCTCTTCTCTCCTTCTGCCTAGAAATCTATAAGACATACAAGCACAACACACACAGCATATATATGTTCTTCAACACGTCGGATCTCCGGGAAGCAGTGCCTGAACCCCAGTTGCTCTCCCGAGCCGAGCTGCGCCTGCAGAGGCACAAGTTGAAAGTGGAGCAACACGTGGAGCTGTACCAGGTGGGGGCATGGGCCATGCAGACAGACCA